CCTGAACCCTAAACCCTAAACCCTAAACCCTAAACCCTAAACCCTAAACCCTAAGCAGCCAGTATATTATATTGAAGGCATGCGGCGCGAACGGAAGCGACAACCACGAACGACCTAGCTCACAAAACAGCATCTGCTGTCGCACGCACCTCCCCAAGACGACTATTTCCGATAAGAAGCCCCAAATTAGAAGTGTTCTATGACATCATGATTAATTATTATCTTCAATTTGTTTGGGGGTTCTTAAGCCCTAAACCCTAAACAATAAACCCAGAGAAGCTCCATGACCCGCAACGTAACCTTTGAATCCGCGGTCGGGTAGCCCTCTCCTTCGCTTTAGCTGGGCACGCACCAACATAGAAGCTCAGTCATACTACCCTCGATGGGTTTAGGGTTTAGGGTTTACGGTTTAGTGTTTAGGGCTTAATTAGGGCTTAGGGCTTAGGGTTTAGGGCGGCTCCAGCCCTCTACCCTTGAAACGTATAATCCCGAAGCCCGGAGGGCGCAAGAGGTCCTCACATTCCTCCAGGAAGGTTCTCATCTCAGAGCCTCGCTCAGTGTTGAGTTTCCGGCTCAGGGAAGGCACTCAACCTTCTTTATAAGGGTTTAGGGTTTAGGCCCTTCCTCCAACGCCCACCCCTCTTTAGGAGCAGCGTTTAGGGCTTCGGCTAGGGCTGAGGGAAAGCTACGAGGTCTCCCGTCCTCCTGAAGCCCCCTCGAGGTCTCCTATAGTCCTCCCGAGTAGGCTCTGCCCACGTCGAGAAGAGTCAGCTATTGGCATCTTTCCCTTTCAAGGATAGATATGGTTTGGGGTTTAGGGTTTAGGGTTTAGGGTTTAGGGTTTAGGGCTTAGGGCTTAGGGTTAGGGTACTCAGGTAAACCCCCAAAAGCAGCCCGCAGGGCGCACTGGTCCAGTTAAGCCTGATGGAAGAAAAGGTTCATGATTGGGATTGTGCAGGGATTGCACTGCGCACACTCAAAAACCTTGAGAGTTAGGGTTTAGGGTTTAGGGTTTAGGGTTTAGGGTTTAGGGTTTAGGGTTTAGGGTTTAGGGAGCCAGAAGGGAGCCAGGCTATGGTTCAGGGCTTCAGGTAGGGGTCCTAGGGATTAGCTGGGCCCAAGAGTAACTTAGGAATAAACAGGGTGCCTTTTTTGGTGTTGAGGGGGGCTTATCAGGGAACCTAAGCCCTAAAAAAAAGGAAACAGGGACCTGCTCTGTAAGGGCCTACTCTGGGTCCTAGTCACTTTTAAGCTTTCATTTCAGGGCTTAGGGTGCTTTGCAAGATCAGAGTGAGTCTCCTCCCCTGCCCAAGAACTTCAGAACCTTAAACCCGAAAACCCGAAACTCTACATCCTCCTTTTGAGTCAACCCTATAAACCTATAAACCCGCTAAACCATCTGAATCCTAGAAACCCTAAAAACCCTATAAACCCTCAAACCCCAGCAACAAACCCTGGAAACCCTAAAAAACCAGATAAACCCTAAAAACCCTAGAAACAAACCCAGGAAACACTGTAAACCCTAGAAAGCCTCTTAGCCCTATAAACCCTAGAAATTTTAGGAACCCTAAGCCTGCCATAACATGAAGCCTCTAAACGTTAATAACCGCTTGTACCCTAACTTAGTTGTCCACGAACCGGGGGGAATGCAAGGTTACCCTTTGGGATTACAATGGGATTATACTACCCCAAAAAGGTTAACGGGTAAAGGTTACCTACTCTACTACTACTAGGGAACCCCCAAACCCTAAACCCAAAACCTGCCATAACTAAACCCTATCAACCCTATAAACCCTGAACCCAATAAACCTCAATATCCCCTAAACCCCAAACCGTAACCCTAAAACCTAGACCCTAAACCCTAAACCCCTTGTACCCTAACTCGGTGTGGCGCGGGGAATCTTGATGCTGCAGATGTAGATCTTGCGGCCTCGGAGCTCTAGGCAGGGCTTGAGATGGGGGTTGAGGGTTCATAGGGTTTAGGGTTTAGGGTTTAGGGTATAGGGTATAGGGTATAGGGTTTAGGGTTTAGGTGTTTGAGAGCTTTAGGGTTTGAGGGTTTGAAACCTTACAGTTTGGTCGTTTTCAGCCTTTAGGGTCTGGAGGCTGTCGGCAATCATATGGCTTGTGGTTTTAGGGCTCTAGGGCTGAGGGTCAAGGCTTTAGGTTTAAGTTAAGGCTTGGGGCTGTAGAGTTTAGGGTTTTAGGGTTGAGGGCGTAAATTTAAGGTTCTGGGTTCAGGGTCGAGTGGTGTAGCACACGAACCAGTGTTCTGGAGATTGAAAACCACATAATTAATTGAATGTCTTAACTGTTGCTCAGGATGCTAGTGCACTACGAAGCATGAGGGCATGTGATGCTCGTGACTTTAAATCCACCTCAGCCTGCAGGCCATACACAAAACCTAACCGATATCATCTGCTTCGACAAGTGATCTGCAATGAAGGGCGAGGTCTACACCCTCAACCCTAAACCCCAAACCCTAAACCCCAAACCCTAAACCCTAAACCCCAAACCCTAAACCCCAAAACCCCTAAACTCTAAACCCTCAGCCTCAACCCTACACCGGGGCTGGGGCTTGGCGGGAAGGTGCAGAGGTTTGTCGACCTGTGCGCACAGCATCAGAAGCCCAAACCCTAAACACCAAACCCGAAACACTAAACCCTAAAAAGGTTGGGTTCAGTGCGCTTTTTGGGACATTTAGGGCCTTAGGGGATTTAGGGGAGGCATTACAGGGTTTTAGGGTCCCTAGGGTTTTGGCCTGAAACTCAGCCTTACACACTAATCCCGAAACCCACGAAGAACCTTCCCACTTGGAAGCTTGGGGCGAAACTTTGGGTTTAGGGTTTAGGGTTTGGGGTTTAGGGTTTAGGGTTTAGGGTTTCTGGTTTAGGGTTTAGGGTTTGGGGTTTGGGGTTTGGGTTTAGGGGACCCAGCCTGACACTTAAACTCTCAGAAAGCACACCACTCTTGGCACCAGTCGGCCAGTTCTTAACAAGCCACACGGGGCGACACGCCATTTTCATCGGTGTAAGATTTCCACATGTCCAACTTGAGGAACGACTGGATGCGTTGTATCTGGGCCCTGTGAAATTCGGAACTTGTAGTGGGAAGAAGGTTTCAAGTGCAGCGCAGTCCTCCTTCTCTGCGATTCCCTACAATCGGAGCCCTAAACACGCTCCCCAGCGTGAGCGCTTGCGGTGCGGAAACGGGCATCATCTGTACAGGAGAACCTGAAAAAGAGCTGCAAGCTGCACATCCAGGTCAATCAAAGTTCACCCGCCTGCGATTTCGGGTGTTGTGGTTTAGGGGCTGGCTTGCACCTTCATGGCCGAAAGAAGTCCTACCAACACAACAAAGCCCGATGGACTCTTCTGGGGCTTAGGGATTGGGGTTTTTTAAGGCGTGGAGGGCACAAGGACTCACTTGCTGGGCACCTGTGTGTTTATTTCCAGGGTTGTCTCCAGGCTCAGAATATTTTCCACAGCTGTGCCCGTCAGAGTGGCATGCAGTTTCTTCAGGAATGGCGCAGAGCCCCACAGTGTAACCTGCAGAACAAATGGCACAGCCGAAGATCTGCAATCGTTTTCGGGTCGTAGGGTTTAGGGTTTAGGGTTTAGGGTTTAGGGTTTAGGGTTTAGGGTTTAGGGTTTAGGTTTTAGGGTTTAGGGTTAAGGGTTTAGGTTAGGGTGTAACTTAGTTGTCCAGTAACCTGGGGGAATTCAAGGATAAGGGGATTATACTACCCCAAAAAGGTTAAAGGTTGCCTACTCTACTACTAGGGGAAGGGGACAGGATTTATGGCTTTGGGCTTCACGGGTTCGACGGTTTCGGGCTTGCGTTTGTTTAGGGTTTAGGGTTTAGGGTTTAGGGTTTAGGGTTTAGGGTTTAGGGTTTAGGGTTTAGGGTTTAGGGTTTAGGGTTTAGGGTTTCGGGTTTCGGGTTTCGGGTTTCGGGTTTCGGGTTTCGGGTTTCGGGTTTCGGGTTTCGGAACCCCGCGTGTGCTCCTTCTCGCATGCCCTAGACCCACCAGAAAATCCTAAGCGTGAAGACCCTAAACCTTAAAAACAAAGCCCTAAAGCCCTAAACCCTAAACACCCAAAAGCCCTATACCCTGAAAATCCCAAATCCGAACAACCGAACAAGGAACTCTGCAAACAAAAATCAGAAGACCGATCCCATCCTCACCTCGTTCTTGCCGCTGGGAAAGACCCGTACTCAGCCCACCCCTAAACTGTGAAACCCGAAAACCTAGACCAAACAGCCCTAAACCCTAAACTCTGAACCCCGAACCAGAAACCCTAAACCCGAAACTCCAACCGAAGCACCTTAAGCTTTCAGCCGACCCTAAACCCTAAACCCTAAACCCTAAACCCTAAACCCTAAACCCCAAACCCCAAACCCTAAACCCTAAACCCTAAACCCTAAACCCTCAAACCCTACAAATTGGCATTTTCCCCCTGTATACTAACTGCTAGTATAAGGAGGAATATCCCGACTTATAAACCCTAACCCTAAACCCTAAAGCCCTCAACCCTGAACCCTAAACTCGAACCTTCCGGACCGACTACAACCCCCGAAACCGAAGAGCTCACCAAGCCCTAAGCCCTAAGCCCTAAGCCCTAAGCCCTAAGCCCTAAGCCCTAAGCCCTAAGCCCTAAGCCCTAAGCCCTAAGCCCTAAGCCCTAAGCCCTAAGCCCTAAGCCCTAGACCCTAAACCCTAAACCCTAAACCCTAGACCCTAACCCTAAACCCAGAACCCGAAACCCAAATGCAGCCGGACTATGCAAGGCCCAGCGGCCCATCCGACTTCACGAGATCAATCTAGCGACGAGGGTGATGTGGGTTTATTGTTTAGGGTTTAGGGTGTAGGGTTTAGGGTTAGGGTTTAGGGTTTGGGGGTTCAGGGGGTTGCGGATTGATTTGGGGGCTCTTGGTTCCCCTTTTTCTCACTATTCAGTGTAATGAAAAATCTCCAAACCAAAAAGGGGATAGGGGCACTACTCGGGGACCTATAGTTTCGTGTTCAGGGGTTTAGAGTTGGAGAGTTTAGGGGGTTAAGGGGTTTAGGTTTGGTTGTTGTGAGGACTGGGGGGGGGGGGGGGGTGTGAAAGTTTAGGGGTCTAGAGGTTTAGGGTTTAGGGGTGTAGGGAAGGGTTACCCTAAACCCTAAACCCTAAACCCTAAACCCTAAACCCTAAACCCTAAACCCTAGAAAGTGGGTGACTCGAGACTTGGGCTTCGGGTTGTGGAGTTGAACCAAAGGAGTCTACAAGTTGAGGGCTTTACCCCAAACCCCAAACCCTAAACCCTAAACCCTAAACCCTAACCCTAAACCCTAAACCCTAGACACTACTTTAGGAACCAGAAGGATTGAGTTTGCTTATTTGCTGAAGAACCCCCCCCCCCAACCCAAAAAACATTTACTTCGAACATCCCCACCTTGCTCCTCGTTACAAGGAAAGAGCGCAGATAAGATGTTCAAACAAAGACACATTGATTCGGGAATCCTACTATCTGCTGTTATTTGGGGGGTCGATATTTGTGGTGCCCTTTTTCGTAAACTCCCATATGCCCTAAACCCGAAACCCGAAACCCTAAACCCTAAACCCTAAACCGTGGCCTGCTTCACAAGCGCGACGGCGCGGCCCGTCGCAGAGGCCTGCCAGAGCCACGGCATGCTAAACTAGGCCTTGCCATTTTCCCTCCCCCTTATACTATTTGCTATAGAACCCCCCCCCCCAGAAAAAGAACATATTAATCCCTGTATTAACCTTGTAAGGAAGAACAATATTTATTATTTTTTGGGTTCTTAAGAAATACTAGTATACGAACAGTCCTTCATAGGGATTACAGTACCCCCTATTAGAACCCCTACTGCGGACTGCTAGTATATAGTCAACATCCCAGCCCTTACTACTATTAGCTTAAGAACCCCAAAAAAGAAAAAAACAAAATCCCCTTATTAGTACTCTAGAAGAGGAGAATATCTGTATTATTTGGGGCTTTCAAACAACCCCTTAAGTAGTCGGTCAGCCCTCAACCCTCTCATGACTTCTTCCTGAGCAAGAGCCAGTCAAGTGTAGGGTTTAGGGTTTGGGGCGACCCGTAACCCCGACACACTCAACACTAAGCCCTCAATGCTGAGCCCCGAATACCCTAAGCCAAGGGTTTAGGGTTTAGGGTTTAGGGTTTAGGGTTTAGGGTTTAGGGTTTAGGGTTTAGGGTTTAGGGTTAGGGTGTACTAAGCAAGCCTTCAAGCACATCTTCCCAGACCTGACGCCGTGCGGTGAAGACATTCGGCGCCACGATGATGTCGACGACCTCGGTGGAACCCTACACGATCCATGTGGTCACTGATCTAAATCGCGGTCTGAGGGTTTAGGGTTGAGGGTTTAGGGTTTAGGGTTTAGGCGGTCCCCGTTTGGGGTTACTAGCACGAGGCGGCCCCCTATATTCGGGGTACACAAAAGTGGGACCATTATCTAGAGGACTCACAATACTGGAGGCAGCAGCCTAAACCTCATCACCCCTACAAGCTCCCCGAAACGCTAAACCCGAAACCCTAAACCCTAAACCCTAAACCCTAAGCCCTAAACCCTAAGCCCTAAACCCTAAACCCTAAACCCTAAACCCTAAACCCTAAACCCCAGGCCCTGTCATCCTTAAGACTTGGGATGTCCCCCGTCAGACAAATAATCCTTAACGGGGATTCTAGTAGGGGGTACTACAGGGTGGGGCCCCCTAGTTATAAGTAGAGTTATAAGGGCCCTAAATTGGGTTATAAGGACCCTAAGTTAGGTTATAAGTCCCTTAACTACAGTTAGTATAGTAAGGGGGCCCCACCCTGTAGAATCCCTATCGAGGACTCTTAGTATAAGGGGGACCATCCCGACTCTAAGATCCTAACCCCAAGCCCTAAACCCTAAACCCGAAGCCCTTGACAAAACCTCGAAGTCCCAGAAACCGTAGAAACCCAACAGACCCTAAACCCCAAACCCCAAACCCCAAAACCCCTAAACCCCAAACCCCAAACCCCAAACCCCAAACCCTAAACCCTAAACCCCAAACCCTAAACCCTATAAACCCTAAACCCTAAACCCTAAACAAGGGCCAGGGATGCTGCAGGGGCCGACGGGTCCTCCTTGTTCCCATTGAGCAACCTCGAAGCCAGGATGGCTTGGGATTCAAGACCTATGGGGTTCAGGGTAGCCCCAAATCCTAAACCCTAAACCCTAAAACCCTAAAACCCTAAAACCCTAAACCCTTCAACCATAAAACCCAAAAAACCCTCAGACCCTACAGCCCTAAAACCCTAAAACCCTCAAACCCTCAGACCCTAAACCCTAAAACCTTAAAAGCCCTAAAACCCTAAAACATTTCAAAACCCTCAAACCCTAAAACCCTAAAACCCTCAAACCCTCAGACCCTCAGACCCTAAACCCTAAAACCTTAAAAACCCTAAAGCCCTAAAACCCTAGAACATTTCAAAACCCTAAA